TGAGGGACTCTGACTTCCATAGTGTCTTGAGCCTTCTGGATCTCCTTGATAGTGTTTTCATTGACCCCTCAAAGGTGGACTCTAGAACCTGGACCCCGACTCCTACGGGCTCTTTTTCCTGTGCTTCCTTTTACAGAGTTTTGTGTCAGTCCACCAATCCTGCAACCTCTCCTTTCCCGATTTATGAGGTTTGGTGCAGATCAATCCCTCCTAGGGTTGGGTGTTTTTGTTGGGAAGCCTATCTGGAAAGATTCAATAATGGTGACTTGCTTCAAAAGAAGAGACCCAATACATGCTTATCACCCCATTGGTATGTTGTATGCAAAGCGGATGGGGAGATTGGGTTTCAATTACTGGTGTTGTGCCAATTTGCAGAGTCAATTTGGGAATGGGCTTTTTCTCTCTTTGAGCGCAGGTGGAACCTTCCATCAGATTTGCAGAGCCTATTTTCTCCTTTGTTCAGGTGGCGCCGGAAAAGGGGAAGGATAATGTGGAGAGGTCTAAGGGCTGCAATTTGTTGGTCCTTATGGGAAGAGAGAAATCTTAGAATCTTCTCGGATAAGGAGAGAGGGGCTGAGGAATTGAGGGTTGTGATCCATATCAGGGTTGTACAGTGGCTGAAATGAATAGAGTTATTCACAGACTACACAGTGGATGACTTGTTAAGAAAGTGGGGTGAGGTTGCAAGTTGTATGAATTCCAAATCAGTCGTGAAGGGGTTTTGGACACCCCCACCTGCCGGATTCCTAAAACTGAACTTTGATGGGAGTTGTAGGGGGAATCCTGGACAGTCAGGGATTGGGGGTGTCTTTAGGGATAAGAACGGAGTCATTTCAGCCATGTTCTCAGGTTCAATTGAAGTGGGGGACTCTCTTAGAGCTGAGATCTTGGCAGTTATGAAAAGTGTTCAGAAGCTAAGGAAATGGACGTCAGAAAACTCATAATTGAAGGGGACTCGGAGATAGTAATAGGGTGGTTGAGGAAAGACAACTTTGGACTATGGAAGTACAGTAATGAGAAAAGAAAGTTAAAGTGGCTGGTGCGGGTAATGAAAATCAGGTTGAGTTGGGTTAATAGATAAGCTAACTCTATAGCTGATGGGCTAGCTAAACAGGGGACTGAAAGGGATGTAATGCTTTGGGCCAAGTTGTAATCATTTTACTTCTTTTTTTCATTTATTTCTTTAAGGACTTAAGCTGTCCTTGGAAGACAAGAGTATTTGTTTTCCTTGATGTAACTATTCCTATCATATTTCAATGAATTTTATGAAGTTGTTATTGATAAAAAAAAAAAAAAAAGTGAACCACAAATTGCATTCAGCCCTAATTCCTAAAGCCTACGTCGATGCCCCGACTTGGTCATTTTTACCAAACAACTTGTTGCTTTGTCTTTTGGTGATTAAGTGCTTACTTCAAATAGTGGGGGCCCAGGCCATACCAATAAACACCAACTATTAATTTAATTTCCTAATTCAAATAAAAGGTTCATAAAGATTTTCAATTGGTTAATTGATGTCGGTCTCATTCTTTTTAAATTGAGTCATTAATTACAAATTAAACTTGATTGATCTCATAAATTAAGTAGGAAATAAAATCCAAATTTATCACATTAGTAATGGATTGCAAACAAAATAATGGATGTGGCTGCCCATACATGGTGGTCATTAACTATTAATAGCTGAAGCTAAAGTTGGGTTGGTTACTCTTCAATGTTATTGTAAATTTAATTATTTTATCTACTATACAAGGCAATGACTCGTTCAGTTCCGCTACTTCAGCTCTGAATCAAGTGAATCTTTAACCTATATTGTTAGAGGTATCAATTTGATTTTTTTTCTTATGAGTATGTTATACGATTAATGAAATGTCTGGGCAGGTTTTTTGGGGGCCCATTTTCTAAACCAGTGGGTAGGGAAAATAATGCTATGGTCCCTCTTACTCCGTATTGGGAAAGATTGAAAGAAGTATTGGATCTAGGATGATGCAAGGCCCATTTCAGGTTACAATGAAATTTGCAGCTACGGGGGTTCATTGGGAAGCCTCTAGGCAGGGGGTTGCTCGGTTGGTTTGATACAATCCTCTTCTCGGAGATGAGAAGAGTTCTTGGACTTCCCTTGAGCTAGGCTGTGTTTGGTTGCAGTGCAATTTTATTTGCACTAGTACAAATGCATGGGAATGTAAATGAAAAAAATTGCAAATTCTCATTTAATTTTGTTTTGGGTTTTACTTTATTATGCTTCATGTCTTAATTTACTTCATTTGTAATGCCATCAAACAAAAAAAAAGCTAAAATTTGATACAAAAATAGGTCAGAATTTACACTCAAATCATTTGCACTACTATAGTTTTGCATTAGTGCAAATTTATTTGCATTGCAACCAAACACAGCCATAGTTTCTAAACTGCTCGAAGAGGGGGATAACCTACTCAGCAAAGTAAGATTAGGGTTTGAGATTTGAAATAGCACACTTTATTCACTGATTAAGAGAGATTATATAGGCCTTATATGGCCATTATAACGATATTCATCCTTAAACGATTATAATGATATGGAGGATAACAATGACATGATCTATTATAACCAACTTTGGAATCTCTGCTACTATATAGCTATCATAGTGTGCTGAGTCAGCTAATAGTGGTTGCTAACTGATGTATGTAACATCCAGGATCAGGTAGGCACAATGTTGTAAGCACGTTCAATGAGCACTTAGAAAATTTTTTTGACACCTAGCTTTTAAATTAGCCTACCATTGAAAAGATTAAAAACCACTTTTGACAATTGTCAAAATATTTATCAAGTGCTCATTGAACGTGCTTACTATATTGTGCCAGTAGAACATTTCCCTCCGGATTTGTCTTGTCCTCAATACACATATTTGGTAACTTATTCAAAAGTTATTCCCACTTCTCCCATGTGGCATCAGCTACCAAGGTGCCTTCCCATTGGAATGAAACTTCCATTTGAACTCAATTTCCATGCATGGTCATTTTGCGATTGAGAATAGCTTGAGGAAAGGGTTGTAGTGACCCATTGGCTAACAAGGATGGGTGCTAGCAAAACAAGGAAATATTTCCAATACCTGATTCAACGCCTCTATCTGTTTATTTGTGAATGACACACAATATTCATGTTAAGGGTTGTTCCTTGCAACCTGAAGAGTTTCTTCCAAAATGCCTCTGTGAATAAGGAATCTCTGTCACTAACTATGCCTCTTAGATAGGGATGGCAATTTTCCCCATTCCTGACAGGACCTGACTTCCCTGACCCGATGGGGTCGGGGGTGGGGATTGAGATCCTTGCCCTGCCCTGACTTCAGTTATATATATATATATATATATAAACATATTTAAAAACATTTTGGAGATTCGGGTCCCATCGGGGATCGGGGGTGGAGGACAAATTTTATCCCCGACAGGAATCGAAGACGGAGATGAGAGTTAATTTCAATATTGGAGTTGGGGATGGGGAATATATATATATATATATATATATATCAAAACATATTTAAAAATATTGTTATTTAAAAACATTTTGGGGATTCGGGTCCCATCGGGGATCGGGGGTGGAGGACAAATTTTATCCCCAACAGGAATCGAAGACGGAAATGGGAGTTAATTTCAGAATCGGAGTTGGGGATGGGGAATATGGTCCCCGCCCATTGCCATTCCCACTCTTAGAATTCCATGCAACTTGAATACCCCCATCTAAGTAGCATTTAGCAACACCTTTGTATGTGAAGGGATGAGATAGATTGAGGAAGTAGGCATATTTGGGGAATATTCCACAACTACTAGGGTTACAGATTTTCGATTAGATGTAAGGAGGCCTTCTATGAAATCCATCGAAAATAAACTTTGATCCAAGCCTTCTCAGGGACTAGAAGAGGTTGCAATAGTCCAGGTAGAGGTACATTTTCAATTTATGTGTGTGCCAAATCTCACATTCATGGACACTTTCTTTGATCTTCTTGAGGTAACCTTTCCAAAAACAGGCTTCTCTAATTCTATACCAAATGTAATGGAAACCAGCTGAATGCCCTTCGTGGGTGAAATATGCATCTCATCTAACATTCTTCTCCTGTAAGTAGAGGTAGAACTGAGAACCCGTTTCCCCTTATGCCAAAATAAACTGTCTTTCACTTCATACCTGTTTGAAACTAATTTCCCTTCCTTCAACTTCTGAATAATGATTTGGAGCTAGCTATCCTTGGATACCTCATCTTTGATTTCTGCAATCCAGTCAAAAATGGGTATAAATATAGTAGAGTGTTCCCATTATTCCTCAATTCTAGAAAAAGTATCCACTACAAAATTCTCTGACCCTTTCCTGTATTGGATCTTGTAATCATATCTAATTAATTTGCTCAGTAGTTTCTACTGCATGGGGGGTACTATACTATTATCTTGTGGTGGAAATGTCCTAAGCTTTGATGGTCCGTTTTAATCTTGAACCTAGGACCAAGAAAGTATATCCTCCATTTTTGGGCAGATGGAACTACTGCTAGCAACTCATGTTCATACGTGTACAACCCCAAGCTTCATACCTTCAAAGCCTTATTGAAGAATGCTACTAGCCATCCTTTCTGCGAAAAAGTGGCGCACTTATTCCAGATCCACTACATTGCAGTCTAGAGTGATGGGTTTATTATTGAAATTTGGCAACACCAACACATGCAAGAGCTTCAGTCATAAATTGCTTAAGTTGAATGCCACATACCCTTATTCAATAAATCAGTGAGTGGCCGAGCAACTTTTTCATAATCCTTAAAAATTTTGCGATAGTGTCGTAATTGTTAGGCCTAATCAAGGCTGCGTTTGGCAAATCTTTCGGTAGTGTCTTTTGGGCTACTAAAAGCCCGAAAGCCCGATTTTTTAGCTTTTTTTCATTTGGCAAAATAAGATCAGAAGCTGAGAAGATGGGCCGCCCAAAAAGCTTGTGCAAGCCCGAGAATCCCCAAAATTGAGAAGCTCCAATTCGAGCTTATGCAAATCCCGGACTGTCTAAGCTACATCATACGTGTGCCAAGAAGCACACGATTAAGAAAATAACGGGAGTTCTTCGAAGAAAACCCTCATTCGTCTGTGCATGCTCCTCTTCAACTTAGGTATTTTCCTCCCTCCCTCTCTCCCTCCTCCTCCTCCTCCTCCTCCTCCTCCTCCTTCTTCTTCTTCTTCTTTTGCTTTCTTTTGCTGCTTCTTCTTCTACTCCACCGTAACCCATCCGTTTTCATTTACAGGGACCTACAAACAATATCATTCTATTCCTAGGTACAACACATCTGCTTTCTTTGTCTTAATTGAAGTTTTTGTTGTTTGTTTTCCCCTATTTATTGATTTAATATCTAAGAACTTCAATTCGTTTCTTTCGTTGTTCAATTTTCATTTTAATTTAATTAGTGATTAATTATCCTTTCATCAATTACATACCTGTTAGGTTTGATTTAACTTGCCCTTGTTCAGCTATGCAACCAATCGTCAATCCAAATCCAACAATAGGTATAAATGGGAGAGACTCCCAATACAGTGACTGATTCTACATTCTTGGACAACCTTGCAAAAAAAATCCAAACAGTGTTCTAATTACAAGAATAAATCTTCCGTAACGTTAGTTGTGCCAGCCCAAGAGATAATCTTTGCAGCTACATCGTAGCAGATTTCATCCAGTTGTGAGTGCATCTTTTCAAATATTCTGCAATTCCTTCCCATCCAAATGGTCCAAAGGATGCAAGCTGGAAACAAATGCCACACAAGTCTGTCTCTTCTGTTCAGCCTAACAATATACAAACTGTTAAGGGTCATGGGTAGATTTTGGGAAGACCCAGCTCAAGTGGAGGCTAGCAAGAAAATGAGCCCAAAGTATGCCTGCTTACATGTCAATGCATAAAGAGATGATCTGCAGTTTCCAATTCATAATTGCAAAGAGAACAGTTGGTGGATGGAAGGTTTATACTTCTTTTGATAAGATTATCTTCGATTACACATTTGCCAAGAGAGGCTATCCAGACCAAGGTCACATTACATGGAACTTTACGCACCCAGACAGATATGTGGGGAGAGTTAGTAGGAGCAAATTTGTTATGACTGTACGTAGATTTGACTGAGAAACATCAAGATTTATTCCACCTCCAAACTCTGTTGTCCTCACTGTTATTGTTCACCTGGTAATTTTGGAGATTACTAAGCAATTCCTCTAACTTCCGAATCTCACAATCTTGAAGACTTCTTCTAAGGCACCCACCTTCCAAGGTTTGCTTCTTTGGACAGGTCTCAATGGCTATCGAACCATTGTGGTCTTGGTTCTAGAGAGATACATTTGGCTCAGATAAACTTCCTGTAATGTTCACTTTACAACTTCCTGTAAGTAACTGTATAAATGGGACCCAAGAGTACTATTTGCATATTTTAATGTGTTATTGGGTCTCACACTTGATATTTCACATGTGTATTAAGCACATGTTTATTCATCACTGTTATGGACTTTGCCAAACAATCTTCATGTCTACCTAGCTTTCTATAAGATCTGTTACAATTACTACAGCCAAACCATCTTCGGGCTTCCTAGATCTACCTATGAAAGCTCTTGTGGTCTTCTGGGTCTTTAGCTACTACAAGATCTTTTGTTGAAAGACTTGACAAACGCCCCCTAAGAATCCCCTTGGGTCTTAATTTGATTGTTCTCGGGTACCGTGTGGCTAATTTTTCATGCACTTGATTTTATTAGGATTTACTTCCACTCTGACTACTGAAATGAGGTGGCCTAACCTAAATAATTGATTCGTGAAACAACAACAAATTTACATTATTTCTCCTAGCATATAACTCATTATGGGTGTTGAGTATCTGGAAAACTTGTTTCAAGTGTTGAACATATTCCTTGAGGGACTAGAGCTGAACACCAATATGTCATACATTAAAGAAAACTTCCGGAGCTGCTCCTTAAAAGATACAATTCATTAGAGCCTGAGAGATGGAGGGAGCATTAGTCAGCCTAAAGGGAACGACTATACATTCATATTGCACCTCATCATGCATTAATTCTAAACATAATTTTGGGTATATCATATTCCTTCACTTGGATATATATCTAGTGGTAACCAGATCATAGATCTAACTTCGAGTATTGTGGCTCCTTACAGTTTATTTATCAACTCATCAATCACCAGCACGGGAAACTTGTCTTTGACGGCTGGTGATTTGGTTTATAGCTTGATATAATAGCTATTTGCAATTTGCCACCCTTCATCTTTCTTTTGCACTAATAATTAATATCGGCCGGTGATGAGTATGGACTCGTGTTAGTTTTGATAATTCCCATTCATAGCATTTCCTTTTAATGATCTTTTCTATTCATTCTTTTGAAATATGGACGAGAACCAACTGGTTTGAAGCCATCTATCAGAGGTATCCCACGATTAAGTTCCCGAGGTGGAGGAATCTTTGAGGGAAATCGAAAGACCTGAAATATATTCTTCAAGGAGAGACTTCATACATTCATCACCCCGGGTCTAAGTTATCTTTAGAAATAGCTAGCACACATCTAAATCAAAATCAGGAATATTTGACTGAATTTTCCCAATCCCTTCGCAACCTTCTTCATTGTTTAGAAATAGCTAGCACACATCTGAAAGTTAAGACTTGTTTCATTTTATTGAAAGTAGATGGCACCCCCATTGTTCAATATAAGAAGAATTTATGTATAGGATTCTTATTTATAAAATGGAATCTGGCTGTATTAAGCCCATATAGTTTAGCCCTTATTTTTGCTTGTATACGATATGTTTATCTATGTATAAAAGCTTTGTTTGGTTATTACATGTGTGAACTTGGGTTTTCAAATAGTAACAATAATACTATGCAAAAGTAATAATCAATGTTCTTTTATAAGTTTTCTTTTTTTTTATTCAAAATTCAATATTTAAGTATATCTTTAGTAATCCAACCAAAGGGTGACTCGTTGATAATTTAGCTGGTTCATTCCAACATTGATGCAGAATCGATTCCTGCAACCATCCATTTAGGGAAAATGGGGGTTATTAGTGGTGTGTAGCACCAAATACCCAAAAAAATATGTCTCTATTATTGATTTTAAGATAAATAGTTTATTCTCTTGCTTTGGGAATTGCCATGTTTCTTATTTTCCTAATAATCTAGCATCTAATTATGTGGTTAATTTTTGTGATGAAAGAGTTATTAATTATTGCTTTTAATAATGTTAATGCTAGTTTTTTTTTTGTTGTTGTAGAGGGAAAGTGTGTAAATAGCATTAGAGCTATTGAAGTAGAGTTTTTTTTGCTATTAAATGTGCTCTTCAATTGGTTGTGGATAAATGATATCATTCTGTGGTGATGATAAATCTGACTCTCTAGTGGTGTTTCCACTTTAAATAGAGAATCTTCATCTTTTCTTCAATCATGTAGTTTCTTGTTAGATGATGTAGGGTCTCTTTTTGTTAAGTTGGACAATATTGTTTTTTCTTATGTTAATAGGTCTCTAATAGGTTAATGCATTATTTAGCTTCTAAAGCTAAATCTTTTATAAAGGAGAGGATATGGTTGACTCCTCCATCTTTTATAGGCTTAAATAGTTGTTATATTATGGTTATTGTTTAATTTACAAGTCTTTTCTATGGAAAAGGTAATCAATGTTCCTTTTTTTTGTTGTATTTGCAATTATGAGTTTTTAAAATAATTTCATTGTATATATGCTAGTAAATTTAATTATTGCTCTCTTTTTTTCGTTGTGTGATCTTGAGTTTATGTTACAATAGTGTCACTAAAAGTAATCATTATTCTCTTTTCTTTTCATTTATTACTTTTCTCTCCTCCCCCTACCATTGTCAAGTTATATGTTGATATAACCTATTCAATTAATTATTTTATATTTTTAACATAATTAATTTATATTTTTTACTATTCTTTAACCTAATTAATTTAACAATTTTATTATTGTTGTTCTTATACTTTTTCATCATTTTTAGTACTTTTAATATCATACTAACAACATTTCTTAAAATATTTTTATTTTACTTTTATGTTTTTTACTATTTTTGAGATAGAATTTTTTGTGGTTTCTATTTATAGAAATGGGATTTAAATGTAAACAAAACAAGAAATGATTTTTTTAAGAAAACTCCTGATTTTTTTTTCATTTTTTAAGAGAATCAAAATTTTTTATGGCTTTTATTTATTGGCCTCCATCATTTAGACTTCAATGCGAAAGGCCTATTTTGATTGAATGACATTCGGATATATATATATATATATATAGATAGATAGATAGATAGAGAGAGAGAGAGAGAGAGAGAGAGAGAGAGAGAGAGGTTGTGTGGGACTCAATGTTATAATTGGGGGGATAGAGATGATATTAATATTATATTTTATAAATTTATAATATCTAATATCTATACCATTATTTAAAGTGTAAATGAGGTATAGATTCTAGAATTTTCTTGACTAAAATATCCCTATATTGAATTTGGTTCTTTATTAGAAGAGCAAAAACCATAATTTGAACTATTACCTATATTAAACTCATTACATTACCCTTATTAGATCCTATATTTAAGGTATTAATTCCCACCCTCTCATTAAATCATATGTTTAATGTATACTAAATAAATATGCTTTATGGAATTTTTCTTTCCTAAAACATCCATACTTTTGAATTTGGTCCTTCTCTAATTGCGAGGATAGAAAATGTAATTTAAATTATTACTTTTCACTTCTTTAATATTCTCTCATTAAGTTGTTAGTTTTCATTCTCCCTCCTTAGATCCTTTATTTAAAGTTTTTTTTTATTTTTGTTCTCACCAATAAAACTATAAGTATATACTTAAAGCATTGGGAAAGTTTTTTTTTCTGACACATGCTTTTTTCATTACTCCCTTTTTTTATGTCTCAATTCTCTCTCATTCTCTCTTTACCCTCTCTTTCCTATCAAACCTTTTTCTCTCTCACACAATTTTCTCATCTTATTTCTCTTTATTTTCTGTTTCCCTTGTTTATTTTTCTTAAAATAAGAGATTAAGGAAATATACCGAAAGAAGCAAGATAAAGAAAAAAACTTAAAAAAAAATAATAAATGACTAAATAACTAAATCATTTTTTAGTTAAGATGTTGATCCCAAGATTGTTCATGCCCACAAATAAGGCTATCAATTGGTTGGGTCCAGGTCGGGACTAGTCATAATCAAAACTGATGGCCTAACATAAAATATTGAGGACCCATAACCGAACCGGACCCGATAGGGTCTATAATTTTTAGACCCAGAATCAAATTGATTGGTTATTGGGACGGAATTAATTAATTAATTAATTAATTAATTGTATAGCTTAGGCCGGGTCTAAATAAGTTCGGGATTGGGTGGAACCGATTATTATTGGGATACTATATCAAGACCCAAAACTGGCCCATCGGTTCCAATTCCTGTAACGAGAATTGACCTAATCAGTTCGGTTCTGTTGGGTCAGGCTCGACCCATTAACAACCCTACCCACAAAGCAGGAAATGTGAGACACTTCGACAATTGCTCATAATGGTTGCACACTGGCAAAAATTAAGACTCAATTTGGAAGGAGTACAAATACAAATATGTACATGTAGAGTACAAATACATACAAAATAATATAAAATACAAGGCTTTGCGCTCAGCATATTTGTATTTGACTATTTGTACTCATTCCAAACTAAGCTTAAAAAACAAAAATTGTGATGGACACTTTTATGCCCAATGATTAATGTATCAATATTGGGTATCGTATCGGACCACTCTGATACGGATACACTTTGGAAACACATGGATGCGAACAAAAAAATATGGATACACAAAAAATGCAAATAAATTTCATAAATATATTAATAATATTGTTTTTAAGATCAAAATAACCATAATTGACGTATAGATACATAGAAAATGTATATTCTAAAAGTATATGTGAAGAAATATACTACAATTAATATAGTGGGATGCATAGAAACCATAAAATTTTATTGATATTGTATCAATCAAGAATCATGGAACATATTATATTATCTTTTTTACAAATTAATACATGCACAAAGCTATTATTATGCTATTTTCTATTGAATTTCAAGGCACAAAACATATGCAACTATTATATGTGAATTACTATATCGATTATTTTATAGTGGGATGCATAAGAATCATAAAATTTTATTGATARTGTATCAATCAARAATCCTRKAACATATTATATATTTTTTTTACAAATTAATACATGCATAAATCTATTATTAGGTTATTTTCTCCTGAATTTCAAGGCACAAAACATATGCAACTATTACATGTGAATTATTATATCGATTATTTTCTATTTTACTATTTTTAATTTTTAATATTAACCGAAAGTCAACTAAAAATTAATTCTCAAATGTTTAATTAACAATATTTTTATTTTTGTAAACAATAAACACGTTATTATAAAATGTAATTAAAATATAAGTTAAAATTTATAAAAATATATTATATTAACTTGAAATATATCAAATATATTAAATTTTCTAAGATACACATCATATGCAAATTCATAATTTTTAACTACTAAAATAATTTTTCCATTATTAATATTTTTATTTTTATAAATTTGAGATAAAAAACATTTTTTGATATAAATGTAGATTAGTGGATTTGACAAATTCAATTTATATTATATTCCTAAGGTTTTTGTAAATAATTTTTTTTATAAATAATATATATACTTTTATTTAGTTCAAATTAAAATATTAATTAATAATTTATAAATTAAATATTAAGAAATAAAATAATTATTCTATTATTAATACCTTTGTTCTTATAAATTTATTGAGATTAAACAATTTTTTTGGTATAAATGTGGATTTAAGAAATTATTTATTCTATTAGTTTTGAATATTATTATTTTTTATTTTGTTGGAACCGTTAAACACAAATGTAATTTGTCCACATTACATGTGGACACTATACTAGAAAGAAGTTATTTTATTTCATTAAATTTCAAAAGATTAAAAGTGGCCTAGTGGATCAAGTGCGTAATAAGGCTTTAATGGTAGATGATTTGTGTTCAAATCATTCCAAGGGCACTTTTTACAAATAAACAACGATACACCCAAACCTATTAATGAGTAGATCAGAAAATGACTTATTGTGTGTTTTATTTCGAGTGTATATATATTAAATTTTTTATAATTTTTATCATATATGTATGTTTGATAAAAAAAATTAGGAACAACTATAAAATTATATATCTATCATGTTAAACAAAAATAAGTATGGTAAATAATAAGTGTTTTTATGAATGATGGAAATGAAATACTAAATTTAAAACTGATCTAGAAACAAAACCATTTTCCTATTCAAGCGATGGATCAATAGTTCAACTTTTCTAGCTCAAATTGGTTAATCCACATTGTCATAATTAAATACCGAAATTTTTAAAAGAAGATAGAGACAAAATTTATTAAAAATACAAAAAAAAATCATAGAAAACATTTTGGCATGTCTCTAATATTATGTTTTCATCATGTTAAACAAAAAATAGTGTGATAAATAAATATTGTTTTTAGTAATGATGAAAAAAGATTAAAAGTGTAGCCTGCAAATTTAAAGGGCTCAATTTGAGTTTTGAACAACCCAACTTGCAATTTTACACAAATTGGCTTGGATTTTTGGTCCTCAGACTTGACCTAGGCCTATGCCCAAAAGTTTGGGTTCTATTTTATTGAATTGCACACAAACCTAACCTAAGGTTGCTTGAGCCTTGCTTGACTATATATGTACATCATAGACACATATTTACATAGTGTATACATATACACATATTTATGTCAAATTCTATTAGCATGGCGATGATTGATTAGTCTAAGCCTAATGCATAGGGTTGGGCTTAGGTTAAGCACTAATTCATTCCAACTTGCACAACTTTCACTTTGACGGCCATCCAATCATTTAAGCATAATGGGTCAAACAATAATGTCATATTTAAATAATAAATAAATTACAAAAATTATATGGAAAATTTATAAAAAATTGGGATATTGAGAATACCATAAAGTTGTCATATTAAACAAAGATAAGTGTGATAAACACAAATTATTTTTTTAATTAATTATGAAAATGTGATAGAAATTTTAAAATTTCCCAAAAAGGAGATTGTTTTCTCTTTAAAGTCAATTAGGTCAACACATGATGCCATAATAAAATTTAAAAAATAGATAGAAATAAGAAATATAGAAAATTCAAAAATTGTCAAGAAAATTGTGCACTTCTAATATTATATGTTTACCATATTAAAAAAAATAAATATGATAAATAACAAGTATTTTGGCTAAAAAGCCCATATTTTCTAAATTTGGTCATTCTTTATTATAAGGGCAAAAATGTAATTTCAACTGCTTTTATTAAATTCATTTTATTCCCTCTCATTAAGACCTATGTTTAAGGTACTAAATCTCATTCCCTCTTATTAAATCCTATATTTAAGGTACACTAAATAAATGGGCTTTGTGGACTTTTCTCGAGTAAAACACTCCTACTTATGAATTGGGTCCCTCTCTAGTTATGTGGGTGGAACTTGTAATTTAAATTAGGGCTTATGGATGATAAGAACAACATTTCGCTCTTAATACCAATAAAAAATAACACCTTTTATATAATAACTCGGTCAAGATAACTTTGTTGAAAAAATATCAAATAAGGGCATTGTCCACAAAAGCGGTGATATTTCGGTCAGAGGATCCATCGTAGGCCATTGCTCTTCTCTGCTACATTTTTATTCACTCCGTACACATCAACCAAGAACTTTGTGTTGGTCACCTAATCACTCTAGTGAGGGAAGGCGAACATAGGCACACCAGAGGCCAGACACTCCATAAGAAGGGCAATCTGTTTATCAAAGCCATGTCTCATTTGTTTCTACCACTGTTAAGAACCATTGGTTCATTGTTCAAATCTCTAAAAGGAAGCAACAGTAACTCCTCCAACGGTGTTCATGGTGACTTTTGAACTGCTACAGAGGGCTGCATAGAATGGCCATACACAAAATTGGTCTCAAGTTGATGTAGCAGGCCATAAAATGACACGAGAGAGAGAGAGTTGAGAATGAAACATTGTCCTTATTTGATGTTTTTTCAATAAAGTTATCCTATTTTGGTTATTATATAAAAGGCATTGCTTTTATTGGTATTAGGGATGAAAAGTTGCCTTTATCGACTAGAATCCCTTTAAATTATTATTACTTTCCACTTCATTTAATTCCCTATCTTTAAGGTGCTAATTTTCATTCTCTCCTTAGTTACTTTATTTGAAGTATTTTTGTTTCTCACCAATAATTCTACTAATTAAAATTGTATCAATATTTTTAATAATAAAACATGTGTCCAAAACCAACATTAAAAATAAACCATCATTTCATCTAGGTGAGGGGTAAATAGTTCAATCATGATCTATCCACATCAAATGGATCCATGAATGGTCTCATAGTTAAATAAAAAAATAAAAATATAAGTATTATAAAAATTACAAAATTTTGTGGAAAATTTAAGAACACTATAATATTATTTATTTATAAAATCAAACACCAATAAGTATGATTAACAAGATGTATTTTTATTAATGATTGAAATGAATACAAGATTTAAAACTAACCAAAAAATGAAACTGTTTTTCTATTCAAGTGGTGGGTCAATGATTCAACCTTTTAGGTTAAATGGATCAATTCATGATGTCATAATCAAATAATACAAATTACAAATATACAAACTTTTTAAAAATATAGAATTTTTGTAAAAAACATTTGGGTGCATCTCTAATATTATGTATTCATCATAATAAACAAAAATAAGTGTGATAAATAAGAGTTATTTTTATTAATGATAGAAAGAGAATGAAAATATAAAGTATCTTGAATAGAAAACTGTTTTTGCATTTAATTTGTGGTCAATAATCCACAAGAATGCAAATTGGGTGGGTTTAGCTCGACCCCAACAGATCTGGCTTGCAATTTTGGACAGGTTGCGGGCTTGGATTTATGGTTTTGGAGATGGACTTAGGCCTAGGCTCAAAAGTTGGGGTTTTTTATTTTTTAGGTTAGACCCAAGCCTAACCCTTAGGTAGCCCAAATTATATACACACATACATATATAGACATGTATTTACATGCATGCATTCATATACAATTATACACATACATTTATGTCAAATGTTGTTGTATGGTTAATTGACAAACCCAAGTGCATCAAATGTTGTTGAGCTTAAACTCAACCCAACCTACTTGATTTACATCATAACATTCTAATAAATTGGGTAAAATAGGTCAACCAATGATATTATGATCAAATAATAAAAATTAAAAATAGATAAAAACATAAAAAATAAAAAATAAAATTTATAGAACTTTTGACATATATAAGATATAAGCAATTTATCATATAAAACAAAGAGAAGCATGATAAAGAATAATTATTTTTAGAATTAATTATGAAAATGAAATAGAAAACTTAAAGTTGCCCAAAAATGAGATCACTTTTTTTAAGTTAAATATGTCAATACATGGTGTCATAATTATATAATAAAAACTAAAAAATAGATAGAAATAAAAATATTAAAAACAAAAAATATACATATCTCTATTATTTTATATTTATCATATTAAACAAAAATAAATATAATAAATAAGAATTATTTTTATTGATAATAAAAATAAAATAAAAATTTAAATTCACCAACACACCATGCTTTAATTACTTATCTTTTTAATGGGTTCTTAAAAAATGGAGATTATTATTGTTATCTGAGATAACCACGTACAACACATGTCATATTTACTAGTTATATATATACATAATATATAATATATAATATTATAAATATAATATATAATACTATTATATTCTATATAGTTGATATTGCACGTTTCTCATATACCCGATTGTTCATTTGTTCTCGAACATTGGAAAACCCGGGTATGGAACAGTCTTAACAAACCCGGGATCCGGATTGCACCCAACTAGATCCGGAACCATGCCTACAAAATAATGTCCAGGTACCAGTTTTTTATTGGATCCGGATATAACCCGACTGTTGGAACCAAATATTTGAGTAGACTTCTTTATAGATGGGACCCATCATCCCCGACCCAGAAGCATTTCAAACGAATAGACCATAAGAGAGTCAGCTGTCTTGGTTTATAACCTTTTTTCTCCCGTTTTCACAGCTCGTGTTAACGCAAATCGGCAGCGCTCCAAAGTGCAAACCCCCCATACAAATCTCTGCAGATCATTCTTCCTGCAATTCCTCAGATTGTAAAAGTCAATCTCCAATTGGGTCCGGTACAGATTTTGTATCCATTTCCGGATATATCAGTACGATTGTCATCTTCGTGCTTGCCCATATTTTCCCATCTGTTTTTTGAAAAGTTGTTTTCAAATCTAATTCCTTCTCATTGTAGTCTGCGAGCATTTAGTTACGCATCTGTTGTTGTTATTATTCAAATTTGTTTATTCTAAGTTTTATGTACATTGGAAGCCTGTAACTTGCTCCGATTGATGCATTGAGTATTTTTGCTTGTTTGTGGCTTTTGCTGGTAATATGAAACGGTTAATTGGAGGAAGTGAATTTAGATATGGGCTTTCGCTTTTGGAACTGGTTGTATCTTCGGTAGCTCTTATGGTTGGTTTTCTTAACCATGGCGTTACCTGAACTTGATAAAACCCTATTTTCGGGCGTGTTGTGGGATTTAGCTCTTGATGCAATTTGTCAACTGGGTTGTGTTTATTAATGTGTTTAGCCTATTGGGTTTGTAGCATGTGTTGAGAAGATGAATTCGTTTTCTGTTATACGGAAGAAAACCCCATTTCAGAAGCATAGAGAAGAGGAGGAAGCAAAGAAAAAGGCATGTTTTTCCCCTTCTTCTTTTCTTTCTGGTTAGCTGTGGGTGCTCACTGGACATGGCTGAGTTAAGTAATTGCCTGTGAACCATTGGTTTTGCAGAGGGCGGAAGATGAAACTGCTCGCTTGTACGCGGAATTTGTAGAGTCATTTCAAGGGGATAATACTCCTGGCTCAAAGACATTTGTTAGAGGAGGAACGATCAATCCCAATGAGAGGCAGAAGACTGATTCCGAAGGTTGGTGTTTGTATTTTTCAGCAGCTTTGTCTTCATTGGATTCGTTATTCTTCAGTAACATATCTTATTTGATTTTGCTTTATGCATATAAGAGTGAATTTTCTTTCACGGGCAAATTAATAAAGATACGAGCCTTTTTTATTCATTCAACAATCGCAGGTGGGAATTCCAAAGATGGGGCATCTGTTCCAAAGAAGGGAAGTAGGTAAATGGATGTACCTAATTCTTAAAGATGAATTTGGAGTTGGCCATTTTCCATGATTAGAAATGCTACAGTGCACATCTTTCAACGCATTTTATTGGAAGATTATAATGGAGTTGTATATGCCAGATGAAGCTTGTTTCATGTTAGGTTAATGAATGAAAGAAAATTGGAACAATGAAATGTTTTATGTTACTGATCAAAATTAAAAAGAAATTGGAGTTAGTGCTTACTCTAACCTGCATATTGATATGTAGAACAATTAAGTTTAGTTTTATGCCCATTATATGCTTAGTTTCTCAATTGGTCTAGTTGAGATCTGTAGTAATTCAGAAAATATAGGAAAAGAAAGAAAGAAAGGAAGAGAAAGGAGAAGAAAGAGGTTTTGGCAGTAGGTTGTGGAAGAAGAAGAGAAGGGAAGAGAGAAAAGAAGAGTTCAAACCTCTCTCTCTAGCCCCCTTGATCTCTTTTATTAACTTAATTCTAAAATTAAGTACAATTACTTGGATGCCCTTAATGGGGCGGTTAACACTAAAGAAATAATTAAAGAAAACAAAAAAGGCCCATAACCAACAAATATAACCCTAAAGACTACTTAAAAGAAATAAAAAACACTAAGACCCATTCAACCTATTTTCACTACACTCCCCCTTAAGCTAAGCATAGATGTCAATCATGTCCAACTTGCTTACACAATGTTGAAGCTTTACCTTTGGAACTCCCTTGGTTAGAAAATCTACTAGTTGTTCTTCTAATGCAATGAAAGGAAGGCACACCTCTCCTGAAGCCACTCTCTCCTGTATAAAGTGTTTGTCTACCTCAATGTGCTTAGTTCTATCATGTTGAATTAGGTTGTGAACAATATTAATAGCAGATCGGTTAGCACAATGCAACACAAGTGGCTCGTCACATGAAACACCCATCTCATTAAGGAGAGATCTAATCCATAACAACTCAGAAACCCCGTGGGCCATAGCCCTATACTCTACTTCAATTGAAGATCTAGCAACCATTGACTGCTTTTTACTTCTCTAAGAAACAATATTTCCGGCTACCATAGCACGATAACCTGATGTGGATCTTCTATCATCCACATTTCTTGCCCAATCGGCATTTATATATGCTTCTACGTTCATGTGGCCATGTTTAGCAAACAATATACCCTTCCTTGGGGTTCCCTTAAGATAGCATAGCACCCTTTCTACATCAACCATATGTGTACCTTTGAGAGCATGCATGAATTGGTTGATGACACATCATATGAAATGTCTGGACGAGTCATACATAGATAAAGGAGTTTCCTTGGTAATCTCTAAAACACTCCCCCTGTCAGCTAAAAGTTCCCCATCATTAGTTGAGAGTTTATAATTTACATCAATAGGGGTAGAGGCAGGTTTAGCACCAAGTTTTCCAATCTCAGTAAGAAGATCCAACACATACTTTTGTTGAGAAATAAAGATAACTTCCTTGGACCTAGCAACCTCAATGCCAAGAAAATACCGCAACTCTCCTAAGTCTTTGATCTTAAATTCAGATATGAGAAACTTCTTGAGAGCACTAACTTTTTTGTATCATTGACGGTAAGGAATTTCACCAAGGTGCTGCTTCTTTTAACAAAGAGGGTATGATCTGATTGAGTTTGAGTGTAGCCGAACTGAATAAGACTAGCCCTAAACTTGTCAAACCAAGCAGTCAAGCACATGGAAATTGTTTCAGGCCATAAAGTGATTTCTTCAATCTGCATACCTTACCTTGTATCTTTTTGCCATATATATTAGGAGGAAGTGACATATATACCTCTTCAGTGAGATTACCATTCAGGAATGCATTCTTAACATCGAACTAATACAAAGGCTAATCATAGCTCATTACTAATGATAAAAGAACTCTCGCCAAAGTCATTTTAGCAACTGGAGAAAAAGTCTTAGTGTAATCTATCCCATATACTTGGGTATATTCCTTAGCAACAAGATGGGCCTTATACCTCTCAATTGACCTATCTGCATGATACTTGATAGTGAAAACCCACTTGCAGCCAACAGGTTCTTTCCCAGTTGGCAAGTCAATAATATCCCATGTATTGTTTTATGAAGGGCTTCTATTTCAGTTCCCATAGCATCCATCCATTCTGGTGTGGCTAAGGCTTCTAAAACAAACTTTGGAATGGGTTGAGAGGAAATGGAGGCTAGAAAGGCATAGTAGGATGGGGACAACAAGTTGTAGGAAAGGTGTTTGGAAATACAATGAGTTGTACATTTCCTCTTACCTTTTCTCAAAGCAATTGGTAGGTCAAAGTCTAGACACGAGGGTGTTGGTAGAGGAGGTGATGGATACGTCCTCTCTTCAGTAATTGGAAGCGTCTAGGACTCAAGTAGAGGTGTGGGATCAACTTGTTTGCCTTAGCCTTTGCCGCTGGTACCACCTCTAGAGAATAGGATGAGTGGTAAAAACTAGAGGATTAACAGGAGGAGGGGGAGGAAGAGGAATGGAAGACCTCAAAGAAGAGGATCCCTCTATGGGAATCGGGGTAGCTATGGAGGGCTCGACACAAGACTTAACTAGAGTTGGCAAAGAAAGGGATGAAGAAAACAACTAAAGAGATTTCTCCCCCTCAGAAGGACAATTATAAAAGGGAATTGACTCTGCAAAGGTGACATCCATAAAAACAAACCGGGTGCCAGTAATGGGATTAAAACAACAATACCTTTTTTGTGTGGAGGCATAACCAAGGAAGATACACTTATGAACCTTGGTGTCAAACTTATGTTTCTTATAACTGGGAATGTGGACATGACAAGTGCAACCAAAGACCTGTAGAGGAATGGAGAAAATCTCAACACTAGGAAAGAGGACTCCAAAAGGAGATTTTAACCCCAAGACTTGAGCAGGCATGCAGTTAATAAAGCAGGTAGCTGCTAAAACTGCATCACCCCAAAATTTCACAGGAACATGGGTAGCAAAAAGGATGCTCCTTGCAACTTCCACAATGTCTGTTTTTCCTTTCTACTATTCCATTTTGTTGTGGAGTGCAGGCATAAGAACTTTGATGAACGACCCTAAACTTCTCAAGATAGGAGGTAAGGTCATCAAAATATTCCTTAGCATTGTTTGATCAGTATATTTTGATGCGGGTGTTAAACTGAGTTAGTATGTGTTCATGGAATTGTTACACAAGTTTAGGCATTTCAACACGAAAGCGCGTAAGGTAAATTCAAGTATATCATGAAAAATCATCAATAAACAGGATGAAATATCTATAGCCACCTATACATGGTAAATGGTAAGGCCCCTACACATCAGAGTGAACAATGTTAAAAGGAATAGTCGATCTCTTATTACTTGAAGGATACATGTTCTTACAATGCTTTGAGAACTCACTAGACTCACAATGTAGACTGATTCCTTTAAATAACTCAATGAAGAAAAAGACAAATGACCCAGATGACTATGACATAACATAATACAACTAGTGAAGGGAAAACACAATATGAAGATAGATTCCATTTGCCTCATGGCCACTCTCAATCACCTTTTAAGATTTCATGTCCTGAAAAACACAATATGAAGGGAAAAATGTCACATTGCAATTCAGGGATTTAGTCAAATTACTAATTGAAAGCAAATTGGTATTAAGTTTAGGTACATGAAGAACAGATGATAAGGTCAGGGCAGTGATTTAAAAGGCGCACCTGAGGCACGCCCCTAGGCGCACAGGCGAGGCACATTTTGGGGTATGCGCCTTGCCTAGGTCCTAGGCACACCCCTTTTGGAAGCAATGCAATTAAGGAGGGGCGTGGTACAAAGGTGACTCATAGAATCAAGAATGCAATATATTTTACATCACATTAGCTACTTGAAGCAATGCAATTAAGGAGAAAAAGAGATTGTGGGCTTTACATGCTTGAAAAATGCTTTATATGTTTGCTTTTATTTTTAAATTTTCATTTGAATATGCTTTACATGTTATGTTTATGTATTTTAATTTTAGATATTAGGTTTTTTAAAACATTTATTTTAAAATTTAAGTTTATATTTTTTATTAACATTATGTTTAATATTTTTTGGCATTTTTTTTTGAATTTTCTGACTTTTTTATTGATTTTTAGCTTTTTTTTTTTGTAATTTTGCGCCTTTCTTAAAAAGGCACGTGCCTTGCCTTGCGCCTTGCGCCTCAGGTGCAAATTGGCCCTTGCGTTTTTAAAACACTAGGTCAGGGCATTAGAGGTCTTAATGTCTCTTTTTCCTGTAATAGGGGCAAGAGAGCGATCAGCAAGGGATATCTTATCCCGACCAAATAGGAGTTGGTAAGAGGTGAATAATTGTGAAACACTAGTCTTGGTCCATATGGTTAGAAGCACCAGAATCAATTATCCAAGGTCCAGATGAATGATTATTCGGTAATACTTCTCATACTTAGCCCTGGCGGCTTCAAGCTGTTCTCCCACTGACTTCTCTCCACCCTGTCCTTGTTCACCTTGTGAGGAGGTGGCTACATTTGAATTTCCACCTTTTGTAGTTTCAAACCTTTTTCCACCATTTTTTTTCTTGAGTTTGGTAGGAATGAGCTCTGGATGCAACTTCCAACATGTCTTTAGTATGTTTAGGCTTCTTGCAGTATTCACAGATAACATCTTTCTTCTTAGTGTTATCCTTCGGCTTCATCCCGAGATTGGCATAGTGATCAACCTATGGCTCAACAAATTTAACTTGTCTTTTGCTCTCTTCACTGCTCACCATAGCATACGCCTGAGACAAAGTCACCTCATCCTTTGCTAAAAAATTATGCCTCACAATATCATACTCCGAGTTGAGTCCAATGAGGAACTCAAAGACCCGATTTTTCTCCACGAACTTCCTATATGTTTCTACAACCTTTGTGCAACACCAAACAACAGTCTCAATCAGATCAATCTCTTGCCAAAGAGATTTCTGCATAGAGAACTGATCGGTTGATCAATCAACAACTTATGAAGCTGATGTGCATGCGTTTATTGGGAAGAAGT